TTGACTGTGGAGTAGCAGAGAGGAGACTGTGCATCGACCTGTGGAAGAGGTAGGTGGAGCTGAGGGAGTCCAGGTCCAAAGGAGAGGTCCAGGAGAAGTGACAGGAGACGCTAGAACTATAAGAAACAAGACGTGGAAAAACGGGAGACAAAAGATATAATCCAACATGGAACGAAGGCTAACAACTAGAAAGAACCAGCAAGGGAGTGAAGGTAAAGCCGAGTATAAATAGGGAGTGACAAAGGAGGCGCAGCTGAAGAGTGTCAGAAAATCAGGACAGGTGTGTTAATCAAGAGAGTCAGTGAGAAGGAGCAGACTAGAGCGAGAAAGAGAGAAGAGAGGAAGGTGCAGCCGGGCAAACCTGACAAAGTTGAATTTTTACCGTTAAAAAAATTAAGTGCACATTGATTGCTAATCACCAGTGATGTTCCCCTCTGATACCGAGGCTCCAAAGCATGCTTCAAACTTGGAAGGATATGTTTCTGAAGCACTGTGCTGCAGCTTGCTTCAAATCAGAAAAAACCATGTGACTGATGACGCTCGAACCACTTCTGCTTCACTCAGATTGAATCAGCTGACTGGTTTGGTTCGAAAGGCGGAGCTTTGAAACATTGGAGCAATACAGATGTATTTAAGATGGATGAAACAGCGCTCTGTCCTATGTCTTGTCAACACATTTTGGATTGCCTCACAATGGAGCCATCAAAGAAACAGTCACAAGTGTGGGAAATTTTTGAATTGGTGCCACTGAATAAGGTAAATTTTATTTCCAAGATGTAAGCCTTATTGTCAAGTCGGTTATTCATACAATGGATGTCCAAGTTTACGGTCCCCTCCGAATAAACACAGGAAGAATAAATCACACACAGATCTCATTGTGATTTCATAGGTGCAGTGTTTGTGCTGTCCTCAGCAGCTGATGTATAACAACAACAGGTCATCAATGCCTGTTAATGCTACCAAGATGACGTGTCCATTCGCTAAGTGTGTATGTGAGATGTGTGTACGCAGTCAGGGACAGAGCCGCTCTGTCACACAACCTAAACACGGTTTATAATTATACAACTTGGCTTTCACAATCCAGCCAACACTGATGCAGCTGTGTGCTGCTTGAAGTCAGAGTGTGCTACCTTAATCCAAAATGCACCTCATGATGACATACCATCAACATCATCAACACTGGTACAGCCAGAACCTGCTGCGGCTTCCACGGGTACACTGTTAATCACATTTGTAGTTATATATTTATTTGTATGTAATTAAATGCTTTATAAATGTCTTGTAATATTTTATTTTCAGGCATTGACCTATGAAAGCTTCTTGACAAAGATGCAGAAGATGCCAGAAAATCTCACAACGCTACTGCAGATGCCATTGTGGAGGTACAGTGATATCTGTCTGCTCCTCCTCTGGATAGATCACAGAACCTCTCAGGTTACTGGTCGATGTACAAATCCCTGTACCCACACCTATTCAACCTGGCCAAACATTTCCTGGCAACACCAGCATCTTCTGTGCCATGTGAAAAGGTCTTCTCCAGAGCTGGTGGGGAAGTTGTCTCAAAAAAGCGAAATTGCCTAAAACCATCCACTGTGGAGATACTATTATTTTTGAATAAAAATGCCTGAGTCACACAAGCCCACCCAGTGTACACCAAACACAATCAGAACACATAATATATTATATTATATTATATTGTCATAATATTAATTACATCCACAGCCTCATTGAACCCTGTAAATATTTGCTCTGTCCAGTGTGTAATTTGGGATGAATAATTATAAATCTATTTCATATTCTTAAGAGTTCTTGGGGAAGGAGGATTACTTACATTACATTTACTTACATTTCATTTCAGATACTTTATAAGGCAAGGAAGAAAAACAGACACGTAAAATGAAGTTAGATTTCAGCTTTATTTAGGTAATTTCCACATTACAACAAAACTCAGTGCACGCGCAAGGTGCATCAGCATCACCTTTGCAAGGCTGTACAACAACCACTGCGCCAGCAGATGTCACCCACGTGCTCAATGAATGAAGCTTCGAGTAGTGAACCAATTTTCAATACAATGGTCCAAAAGGGTTCAAAGCTTCATTGGGCCTCGTATGGCCATCACTACTAATCACCCAAAAACACGGCAGACCGAAGATGGACAGACAACATACGGTAACACGGTTCAGCTGTGTAATGGCTGCATTCAGGGACACTCGGAAATCCCAGTATCATGGTTGTATTCAGGGGCACTCGGAAATTCCAGTTTCAGGAGTTGCAAAAGTTATATTCGGTGACTTCTATACCTGAAATGAATTACTTCAAATGCTCAACCTATCTATCATACTGTTACTCGGTTGTGCATATTGAACCATAATACTGCCAGGTTAAATAGAGGTATGAACAAAAATAATGCACATAATAATGCTCCCTTCATGAAACACTTCAGCACTTAGTTGTAAAATGTGCTTCAGTGAAACTACAGCTGATGTTGTTGTCATTCTCTGAACCTTGTGGATTGTACCACTCCTCTGTTTCAGATTGTGTGCTCTTTCTATGTACACTAAATCAGTGTTTCTTAACTGGTGTCACCCTGGGACCCACTTTCCAACCCATTTGTGAAGTCGTGACCCACCAGTACAGGATTTCAAATAAATGAATTAAATTATAAAGCTTTTTTTTTTTTTTTTTAAAAAACTGAATGCAGAACTGCAAACACAACATGATAATACTTTATAGTCTCTTTTCACTTAAGAGATTCAATGTCTGGGCTGATAGTAGACAGAGCTACTCTCAGATCATGTTCAGTGTCCAACTTGTTCCTTTGCTTTGACTTGAGCTGTACCAAAGTGGAGAAGCCGCTTTAACACAGATAGGTTGTTGTGAACAGTAGGATTGCTTTGACTGCCAATGTAGCAAGGGAGGGATATCAATGCACCGCATTATGGTGTCATTAGATAGCGTTATGGTCTTCAACTTGTCCACTGTTGACTGGCCTAATACCTCTCTGACCATGTCCAGGGCCAGAGGTAAGATGCTATTGTATGTGGCTTCTTGGCCTTTACTATATGTTGAGCTACAAGGTATGAGGCCCATAGTGCCTGCTCTGATTTGGAACACGAGGACAGCAGCCTCTTCTGGGTGGTCCTCAGGTCCCGAAGTGGTCTTTGAAAGTATTCGACTGGTTTTTCATTTGGACGGCTTCATACTTTCTTGTGCCAGTACTTCACTGCATATCACACATTGAGGATTATGCATGCATTTCAAAACAAAAGCCCCACGTTACTATCTAAGCATTGGAATCCACAACAATATATTGCTCTCAAAAACTATTTTATTTTTTTCACCATGTCTCTCGCTGCACTTGATTGTCAGCTGCACCCGATGCTCTGCGACAACTGTTCCTTCCTGTTTCATTGTCCATTTTGTGTCCAAGCTTAGTGACATGTGCACAGTCATTCTGTTCATCTCATCCTTCTGCTATTTCAACAAAGAACTTCCGCCATTTCTTTTCAACCTTCAACTTTTTTAACAAAGAACTTCAGCCATTTCTTTTCATCATTCAGCTGTTTCAGCAGTTGATTTCAGGCATTTTGAGGGCGATCCTCATGATGTTTCATTTCAATAGCCACACTGTAGTAGTCCTCAAGGTGTAAGACTACTCTCTCTCTCTCTCTCTCTCTCTCTCACACACACACACACACTCCTACTCGTTTGTCCTACTACACGGGGACTGCTCTCTCAAACACACACATACACCCCTACTTGTTTTTCCTACTACAAGGGGACTGCTCACACACACACACTCCTACTTCTTTTTCCTATGTAGGGATGACACACACACACACACACACACACACACCTATTTGTTTTTCCTACTAGGTAAGTGAAACCCTGGAATTAATAACTGGTTGACCACCCCCCCAATAGCACCTCTAATGGGTTGAGTTCTGGGCTCCGACTTGGCCCACTCCAAAAGGCAGATTTTGTTTTTCTGAAGCCATTTTGTTGTGGACTTGCTCCGGTGTTTTGGGTCATTTTCCTGTTGCATCACCCAACTTCTACAGAGTTTCAGCTGATGTACAGACATTCTCACATTATCCTGAAGAATTTTTTGATACACCTGGGAATTCCTCTTCCCCTCAATGACTGCAAGCTGGCCAGGCCCTGATGCGGTAAAGCAGGCCCAAATCATGTTTCCTCTACCATACTTTACGGTTGGGATGATGTTTTCATCATGATATGCAGTGCTCTTTTCACGCCAGAGTTAGTGCTGCATGTTCTTTCCAAATAGTTCAATCTTAGTTTCATCAGTCCACAAAATGTTTTGCCAATACTGCTGTGGTGTATCAGTGTGCTCTTTTGCAAACGTCAGGCATGCACTTCCTTCGTGGTGTCCTGCCATAGACACCCAGCTTGTTCAATGTTTTAAGTACTGTAGACTCATGAACATACTGTAGATGTTATCCAGTTCCAATGATGCCTTCAAATATTTGGCTGTCACTTGAGGTTATTTCTTTACCTCATTAATAAGTTTTCATTGTGCTCTTGGGGTCATTTTGACTGGGCACCCACCTCTTGGTAGAGTAGCCACAGTGTTTCCATTTGTAGATTGTTTGCCTAACTGTAGAATGGTGAATTTTTGAAGTCTTTGAAATCACTTTATAACCCTTTCCAGCTTTATGTAACAATTCTTGATCGTAGATCTTCGGAAAGCTCTTTTTGGCATGGCATGGCTCACATAAGCATATTCTTCTTGTGTGGAGCAAACTCAAAAGGTTTAAGTGGTTTTATCTGTCAAAGTAGCTCCAGTCCACACCGCCAAACTTATTTTCTTAAGACTCCAGGTATGCTAACACATGACTCCAATTAGCTTTTTTGAGGTCATTAACTCAAGGGTTCACATACTTTTTCCATTAGCACTATGAGGTTTTTATGGTTGTTAGACATGAAACATCCTAGTGACCTGTTGAAGACATATGGTTAATAAAGACATGAAAGGTCAGAATTTTTTTGTGTTGTTATATTAGGCACATTATATTCATCAGTACTTGAAGATCACTATATGAAGATAATATTTTATGACAAATTAATGCAGAAAACCATGTTTTTCTAAAAAGTTAGCATACTTTTTCTTGCCACTGTATACAGCATATAATGTTGTATGGTTTAACAATTCAGAGCCCTATACTGTTGGACTGTATACTAGCAATCTGGTGGCCAAAATGAGAACTGCAGGTTGGATTTTATGAGCCCCATGCAGGGCTAAAAACACTGCATTATTGACGTAGTGTCACCAACAGGGCACTGCAAATACAATGCGGTGAAAAAGTATGACACTTGGAATGCCTACATCTGTAGCTGTAAGATACTGTAGCTTAGCCTTAAGTTAGTGTAACTTCAGAACTGATGTCTGGTGTAATGTCAGGTGTGCTGGCTTGTGTTAGGCTCCTCTTCTATAATGTAATATACCATAGTCGTCCAGGGAGAGATTTCAGACTTGAATCAAACTTGCATTTTGCAATGCATGAACATAACTGGCCCGTATGCTAATCTAGGCTCCAGTCTTGTACTTAACACAAAAACTCAATATTTATCTTCTCATCCTAATAAAAAGACCAAATAGCACAAGGCTGTGTTCATACAATTTAATGTATTTGCTAAAATGTCTACTATAAATATTATGTAGCTCATAATGATAAAACTGAGGAAACTGCTTTTGGCAATGGATGGATAGATGGTTGTTTTGTTTTCTACATTTGGCTTAGTCTTTAATGAATAGTAGCATCAACAGTGAATAAATAGGTTATCCTCCCCCTCAGCAGCTCTCGGTGTATCTCCGATAGTCTGTTCATCCAGAGTGGTGGGAGGAGGTGAGATTTAGAAGTAGCTGCAGCAGCCTGGCCTCTCCTTCTGTGCTTCAATGTATTCATGGATCTGGAACTTTGGTTCATTGGGGTGCTGGATAGCTCTGTGCTTCAGCTCCCTGATGAGAAAAAAAAAAAAACCCACACACGACATCACAGTTTAGAAAACAGTACAGATGGATTATTTTAACCAAAATTATTTCACAACACTGGTGCTGTCAGTGATAAAAAAAAAACAAAAAAAAAAAAACACAAACACACAACACACTCCAAGGCTGCTGTATAAGCAGTGTTTGTCTCATGTAAATTGAATCATTTTAATTCACTTTGTATAGCCAAATCACAACAGGAGACTTTACAAAGTAAGGTCTAGACCTTATCATTATTATAATTATAGAGGAAAAACACAACAAATCCCCTTTGAGAAAGCACTTGCTGACAGTGGGGAGGAAAAAAAATCTAATTAAAACCATTATGTTTCATAAATTCTTAATGTATTATTACATCAACATAAATCATTTCTTATTTAAGAAATAATATAATATTATTCATAGATGTAATGTTTTATTCAAAGAAATCTATGAGATTTTTTTTCAGGTTAAGGTAATTGATACTTTAGGGGAGTCTTATTCAAGACTAACCTGTATGTCTAAGAATGTTTTATCTCTGTAAAATGGTGTGATAAACAGGTTGAAACTGCTCAATACTTACTGGTGCTGTTATTGCATTGTTAATGAAAATACACCTAATAATGCGTATTGTGTACATCAAGATGTGTATTTACATTATCTTTTTCAGAGTGGCTTAAAGATTTGGACAAGTTAGTAGCAAATTGCTTCATTAATGATCTTCTAAGCACCAATTAGACCAAACAAGTACAAATACTTTCATGGCATTTGTCACAGCTGTACTGTGTTCAGCACACTGATGATAAACCAGTGTGTATAGTGTGAATGTTGTTTCATACTTGGCCACAGCAGTGAAGGCCAGCTCTACATTGACTCCAGTCTTGGCACTAGTCTCCATGAAGGGGACTGAATACTCCTGAATGCATGAGGAGCAAACAGCAGTTAACATTCTTAAATAATCAAATGCATTTGAATTTGGAACATTGTGTATTTATGAGTACTTTTGATTTATTATATAAGAGCACCTAACTAAGAGTATTGTACTTTGACATTTTAAATTTATTTTGAACACAAAGAATACTGAGACCAGCAATACTGTATTTATGGCCATTCAAATAAAATGTTAGCCAGATTCAAATGCAGTACTACACTGACACTAAGGCCAACAGATGTATTGTACACTGTGTTTGTTAAATAAATGAAATACTGCACCAGTTACTGTTGTACAGTAGTGAATGCAATACTCACTCTGGCCAGCCTTTCTCCTTCATCTCTCCTGATTGCTCTTTCACTGCTCAAATCAGCCTGGTAGGGAGATTCACAGCATTACTGTGTAGTCAAATCAAATGATGTAGTATGGGGATGGAAAATATAAGATCCAACACAACAAATATACCTAAGGTACTGAAATAGGTGCTTGGGAAAATATTTGTTACTTTTTGGAAAAAAATTTACTTTGATATTACATCTTGCAAAGATTTATAAGTTCCAAACAGACTGTATGTAAAGTTGGGCAATGCATCACCACTTCCTGACACTATAAAAGTGATGCCAAAATATTGTGAATATTTGGATGGCTTGTGACACATTTTGCAACCAGATTCAGTGCAATCAGAGGCGGAGCCATGGTGTCAGGCCACCAATCAAAGCTGTCAAATCATCCAAAAATAGGCTAGGCTACACCCCTAACAATAACTTGTTAAAAACAAACTTGTCTGAAAAATGACCACTTATATGCAGATTGGTGTGTGTATTATATACCTAGAATTGCAAAGCAAGGTCTGACACTTTTTTAGATCCCAAAATAAGACCGTTCTTGCATCAGTATACAAATATATTGTTAACAGTTTCTTTCATTTGCATTTTACAGTACAATTGCTTTCTTTTTGTGTATTCAGTTAATATTCTGAACCTCATTCATATAGTCCAGACATATTGTATATGTCTCCTATCATTAGAAAGTTTCACCAAAGATTGCATCCTTTTATATCTTTGCAACACTTGCTCCTTTCCTTGCTGAGCAACACTTAAACACTTTCCTCTCACCTTGTTGCCCAGCAACATGATGACTACATTAGTCTGTGCATACTCATGGATCTCGGTTAACCATGCCTGAAACAATACAGACAGAAACACACATAAATACATAGTGGAATAAAGCAGAGAGAATGCGTGTTTGCACTAGGCTGAAACACAGAAAGGAATTATAAGAACACACCGACACACTTGACAGTTGGTGTCAGTTCTCTGTGGCATTAGTTTTTGTTCCTCCTCCCAACACCTAGACATTTCCCAAACCTACCCTAATGTTGTCAAAGGATGATTTGCTGGTGATGTCATACAGGAGGAGCAAAGCTTTGGAAAGAGAACATAAAAATGAATAAAAATAATTTAATCTAATGCCGTCTCATAACAGCACCTCTCCATTACTGTGACTCAGTAATGTTGATTATAGTGCTTTTGCCTCACCGTGTGCGTCTCTGTAATATGCATGTGTCACACTTCTGAACCTTTCCTGTCCTGCTGTGTCCCAAATCTGAAACAGAAAAGGCAACTGACTGTACGTGGTGATGTGGCCTGGTTCTGCTTGGTTAAGTATACTTTTAAGTTACAACACTGGTGCTCAAAATGAAATCAGCCTGTCCTCTAAAAATAGGACTGTGAAAGTACATCAAACACATCACATTACTATGAAAGCACATCAGGTTTTCACTGGAGTTGATTTATTTACTGACCTGTAGTTTCACCTTTATATCATCCACAGTCACCACTTTATTCTGAGAGAAACAGGAACTAAATTAAAATATTGATGACATATTCACTGTCCAAACAGATTAAAGACAGTGGAATCTGTTCATGCTATATTTTTTTCTTTATTTGTCCAGGTTTTATGAATCCTGCCTCCACTCCAACACTGAAAATGTTTAACAGCAGCATTTAAAAAAAAAAAAAAAAAAAAAAAAAAAAAAAAAAAAAAGGTCCCGGCACACCAAAAAAAAAAATACACCTTC